GGTCGGAGGGCGAGGGGGACCCCAGGCGCCGAGGAGACCCGCGGTCATTTGGGTTTTTGGCTCCGCGTCTCGCGGACGGTTGCATTTCCTGCCCCCTCCCAGCGGCCGCGTGGGCCCCACCAAGTGGAGCGTGGAGGTCCCTGCGGGAGGGGCGCAGGCGCCTCGGGTTCAGACACCAACCCGCGCTTGGTGTTTCTGGCGGTCCCTGGGCCGCTCAGCCATTGGGCATTGTGTCCTGAGAGGGCCCATCCGGACTTCCTTCCCTCCCTGCCACGCCGCTGTCCCTTTTTGGGGTTATCCGGGATCCCGGAACGGATTGATCAAAGGGACTAATCCCCGGGCCACTCCCGAAGGCCCCTTTCCTGACCCACGTGCCCCCAATTCCGTTTATAACCGTCCTGCGGGTCCGACTCGCGCTCTCTCGGGAGAGGGAGCTGCTAGGAGCTGGCGGAGTCCGCAATTAGTTCCTTACTTTCCCACAGGCTCCAGCTCTCAAACTCTGTAAATAGTTAAATTCTGACGTGACTCGTCTGTCAGAATCTTAAATGTAAACACTGAGGTCTCTCAGCCTTTCTAGTTAGGTAGAATTTGCTCATTCCCCTTAGGCCCCTTGAAGAACATAGGCCGTTCCATCGCCCTTGCCTTTCCTTCGTATATTCCTTTATTTACCTCTCGTGTTCTACCTTTCCTTCCACGACATCTCTCCCTTTCCTGAGTCTAATTGTTCCCCTTTTTCATGTGCAGTAGAGGAGTTAGCACTGTTCAAAGCGTTTATTCGCAACCTGGGATATGTAGGTTGAATAGAAACATGACCATTCTAAAAAACAGCATTGCGCTTTCGCGTAGGGTGGATGAGTAAACCCACGTAATTACGCCTCCATATTGAAGAAAGGCTGATTTTAATTTCTTAAAAAGAATGTGATATTAATTTGGTCTTATCTACGACTTAAAGTGTAATATAGAAATCAGGACAAATTACTGATGTTTTGATAAAAAGGGATTAGCTTTGTTTTTGTTGAAGCTCATCTACAGAGAATTTTTAGAGGTTGTCATTATGGGGTTGTTTTTTCTCTTTATACATCACTGTAGGAGGCATATTTGAATAATGTCTAATTCTGTTTTTAAACAGTATTTCCTGGTAGGGAAAGTTAAATTCCAGGCACCTGCCTGAATACTCTCAGATGTGCTAGCATACTCTGCCATTGAAGCAGTTATCATCGGCGAAATGTTTTTAAGAAACTCACTACAGTAACATATCTGTGCAGAGGATGTAAGAAAATTCACCACAGAAAGATATGTACACTAAGCTGAGGCTTAATAGTTTCTTTTTGAAAATAAGTTATCCAAAACAAAAGAAAAATGTCCTACCTAGTGTATCACCAGAGTAGTTGCTGAAATGTGAGAAATTCAGCTTTATTTTTAAATTATTTACCTAAAAGAGGAAAATATTACTACAATAATATGTATGAAATGACTTGTTCAATTATAGACTCAACTATATCAAGTTCAGAGATGCCAAGGGGAGAGGGAAAATTCAGTTAGACTGTTACCTGTTGTCTTCCTTTTCTTGCTGTTTAACACCAAAATGTAGTGTGGCTGAATTTCTCTAGTTGTCTTATTAAGTATTTCCATTTCCTGGACTAGAGGCCTTGTGTTTAAAGGCATTGTGTTTGTGGGGTGGTTAGGCCAGCTTAAGGAGGTGACAGGCCATAAGACCCTGGCCTTTTTAAATTTTTTTAAAGTCTTTTTGACTAGTAAGTAATGTAGGGAACTGTGAGAGTAAGTATACTTATGGCATAAAGGTAGGTTCTGCTAAGGCTTGTGGTCTTTATTAATATTTGTTAAAGCTCGTTCTGCTGTGCTCTTAACCGCCCTGCAAGTATTGAGGAAAGCTATAGAATGCAGAGGCCAACAGCCTATTCTCTGCCCAGCTAGCCCTGTAAAAATCTAGTGGTGGGAGTGTGTTTCACAGGTACCTCTATTTCTAAAGAAAAAGATTGTTTTGTTTTACCTCCTTCCCTTTCCCAGCTCCACATTCTCTCCTGCTGCCCCCCTCCATCAGTGAAATCCTGGGGAACACTGAAAGGAAATGCCATTATTATAATTTGACTGTACCCCCAGTTTACTTTTAATTTACTGTATGTGTTTGCTTTTCTCTCTTTTTCTTATATGCTTATTTCTGCCTGTGGCTTTGAAAGTATCATTTTGTGTTTATTTTGACAGGAGGATCTCCTGCTTGTGTTTTTGAGTGTACAGACCCTGAGGGGAGTGTGTCTGTCGGGGGAGGGGGTCTGCGGGTCCCAGGTGGGTTTCAGTGTTACATGCTGGCCCTTAGCTCAGCACTGGGGATCTCACCCTGACCCCTCTGGGACTGCAGGGGCTGACAGCCTCTCAGGAGCCCCGGTCCAGGCAAAGCCACCAGGCCAGCGGAATCCAGGCCCATCCTTGAAGTATCCCTTCCCTTTTGTGAATTAGGAAGAAGAATTAGGCTGGGAGTTGGCCTTTGGGAGAATAGGAAAAACACAACCTTGGTTCTGCTTCAAGATTTCTCTCAAGTCAGGGGTCTTGCAAAGCCATTGTTGACCTTTCCTGTGTTTCATTGCAGGGGAAAAGCCTTTCAAATGTGAATTTGATGGCTGTGACAGGAAGTTTGCCAATAGCAGTGATCGGAAGAAACATTCCCATGTCCACACCAGTGACAAGCCCTACTACTGCAAGATTCGAGGCTGTGACAAATCCTACACTCACCCAAGCTCCCTGAGGAAGCACATGAAGATTCACTGCAAGTCCCCACCACCTTCTCCAGGACCCCTTGGTTACTCATCAGTGGGGACTCCAGTGGGTGCCCCTTTGTCCCCCGTGCTGGACCCAGCCAGGAGTCGCTCCAGCACTCTGTCCCCTCAGGTGACCAACCTCAATGAGTGGTACGTTTGCCAGGCCAGTGGGGCCCCCAGCCACCTCCACACCCCTTCCAGCAACGGAACCACCTCTGAATCTGAAGATGAGGAAATTTACGGGAACCCTGAAGTTGTGCGGACGATACATTAGAATTTATGATTAATAATAATAAGTGAAATAATAAGTCGGAGTCCTTGGACCACATCCTAACCTGAGACAATGCCGAGCCTGAGACAAACCCGTGACTCAGACTTGCCACCGGGTCTAATTAGCCCTATTTATTCAGTATGAAACCCTATGGTGTTTGTACATTTAATTAATTTAATTAAGATATTTGGGCCCTTTTTTTTTTTTTTCTCTTAAAAAACAAACAAAAAACAACCAAGCTGGACTTGTACATTGCAGGAGGACGGGGCTTGGGGGCAAATTGTACCAAGGAAAATGAATGGAGAGATTAGTTAATGGAGATACACGCTGCCGGTGTCATAT